ACTCAGGTTATCAGGTTTGGCAGCAAGTGCTGTGACCAGCCCCACCTAAAAGACATTTGCCATCCTTGATCTATGCTAAGCTGCCTCCAAAAAGCTGGTCCCAATCTCTACCCATCCCTGTTTTCATGAATACCCAGGTCACTGTATTCTTGCCAGAATGAAACATGACTAGTTTTTATGCCTGTCAAGTTAGAGAGGCAAATAATATTTTATGCTATTCTACATTGACTGAATAGAAAAGAGGCTATAATTTTATCACAGACCTATGGGGCAATTATATAATTTGCTTATGTGCTTCTCATAGTCTCTTATGCTATCAAGAGAGCAGAAGAAATAATTACACATGGTCTGTGATATGTGACCAATATTTTTCCCGATTTATCCTACTATGCCTTCAGCCTGGACCTTAATAATCCTTTTGCTGGTGCATCTCTAATTTACCATAGCTCCCTTCCAGGTTTTATACATCTTCCACTTGTATATTTCTTTTATCTTCCTAAGAGAACGTCTCAAGGTTGTCCCTATTTTACTTGAATTTCCCTCAGTTTCAAGTCAGTTTCTCATTGCTTCCTATGCCTTGGACACACCTCTGGGAGGGTCTGTGAGAGTGTTTCCTAAAATATTCAACTGTGGACATAAGACAAATCCTGAGGGTGAGCAGCTCCATCTCACAGACTTGGGTTCTGGACTGAATAAAGAGAAGAAAACAAACAGAGTGCCAGCACCCATTTATCTCTGCTCGCTGACTGGGGACACAACCACCTCACGTTCCCACCACCATGTTTTCCCCGCCATGATTGATTCTTCAGAGCTGTGAGCCAAAACAAACTCCCCCTCCCTCCCTCCCTTATGTTTCTTTGTCAAGCATCTTATCACAGCAGTGAGGAAAGTGTTATTTCCTCCTAGGCTTTTCTCCACAGTCAACCTTCTTGCCTCTACATTAAATTCCTTTGCATCCCATGACATCATCTTTGCACCTCCAGAGATTCTACCCTATACCATCAAGAATGAATCTTCAACTACACCAAAGAATGTCAACCTCTCAGATGCATAAGCAGACTTCCTGCATATTTCAAGGCTTTCATTTTATTGAATAGTCAACAGTTCCCAAAAGCTGCCTCCACCATAGTGCCCCAATCCTTGAGCATCTTATTTTATATGTTTAAAAAAAAAAAAAGCATGTAGATATGGCTAAGGCTCTTGTTGGGGGAACACTGTCCCGCATTATCTCAGTGGGGTAAGTGTAAATGCAGCAGTTCTAAGAGGAAATCAGTAGGTCAGAGGCAGAAAAGGAGATGAGGGCAGAAGTCAAAGAGAGCTGAAGATGGTATGGTGCTGGCCTAGAAGACAGGAGATGAGGCTGTGAGCCGAGGAAAGCAGGTAGACTCTGGAAGCTGCAAGGGACAGTGAGACGCATCCCCTCTGAGATCCGAGGAAGAGACTCCATCCTGAGAGACACCTGGACTTTAAGACTTCTGATGTTGAGCACTGTGGGAAAATAAAGGTGTGTTGGCCTGAGCCGTTATGCTTATAGCACTGAAAGCTAATCCAGATGCTATGCAACATGCTCTTGGCAGATGTGATGAAGGTTGTGGACCCTGATACTAGTTCTTCTGTCAGGTGGACAGCCAAATCTAATCATGTGAGCCCCAGAGGCACAGAAATGTATCCTGTTAAAGCAGGGAGAAGCATCGGCAGAAGGCAGGAGAGATACAGCAGAAGGGCAGGTCCAAGCGAGACAAAGCCCAAGAATGACTCAACCCACTGGGTTTCGTTTTGCTTTGTTTTTTATTTAAAGATGGAGAACAGAGCCCGAGTGCAGGTGGCATCAGCAGTTGAGAGTGGCCCCTAGGAGACAGACAGTAAGGAAGTGGGAACCTCAGCCCCACAAGCACCAGGAGCAAAAACTTCAGTGCCCCTTGAACTGAATTCACACCTGGAGAAATAGAAAAGAAAGAAGATAGGGTCCTTTGCCCTCCTTAACCTTGACCTTGGGGAAAAAAAATCTGTCAAGTTCCATGCCATCAGCCCTAAGAACCACAGTGCAAGAAGTTATCGCCCCTTAATGGCACTGAATTGGCCATAATTCGTTACGACAATAGCGAACATGCACATCATAAATTCGGAGACTGATTTGACTCAACCTCACAAGTTTCCTTCAAAGTGCACAAGGAGGGTCTGTGCAGTGTGGTTTGTGGGTTGCCTTGACTCCAAGGGCAGAGATCTAAATTCCTTCACCTTTCTCCTCCAGGGTCTCCAGAATGTTGGCTGTCTCCCACTACAGGTCACAGATGCCCACAGACACTTAACAAATCCCTTTTAGGCAATGGAGGAAATGTTCTGAGTACACCTCTTGGTAGAGCAGGAAAACCTTTTCCCAAAGTCTGTCATCAGATACTCCATCCGTCTTGTTTCCAGGACCTGCCCCATTAGAGGAAGCCATGACTAGGACAGAGTGAGTCCTCCCAGAAACACTGAATACATTAGCCTAAGTCCAGCCCAGCTCCACTGGATTTGAAACCCAGGGAATAAACACAGATGCATGGCCTAAAAATGATGATGATGAGGGCTGGAGAGAGCAGTTAAGAGCACATTCTGTTCTTACAGAAGACTTGAGTTCAGTTCTAGTACCCACATCAGGCAGCTCACAACTTCCTGTAACTCCAGCTCCCGGGGATCTGATGCTTCTGGCATCTAGGGCGCCTGTGCTTGTGTGCAGAGATACACATATATATTCAGTTGAAAAAAGTAACGTGGGGTTGGAGAGATGCCTCCATGGTTAAGAGCACTTGCTGTTCTTCCCGAGGACCTGGGTTCGGTTCCCAACACCCACATGGCCAATCCTGACAGCATTTTAACTCCAGGTCCAGGGGGATCACCCTTTTCTGACCTGGGCCCCAGGAACACAAGTGGTGTACATATCTACATGCAGGCAAAACATTTACATAAAACAAAAGTTAATAATAACTAAATTAATAAATCATTTTTAAAGATGATGGTGGTGGTGATGATGATGACTACTATGGCAAAAGACTAAGGGATCCGGAGTTTAGTTTAAGTCCAAAGTAGGAGTTTCCAACCCAGCAAAGAGTCTGTGCTCTGGAAAACAGACTTGGAAAGAAATTCAGTACTAAAATTAGGAGACCATAAACAGTCTCACCCCGTATTAAAAAGGGTCAAGTCATAGCTGGCCCGGATGGCTGGAGCCATGCATTGTGTAGGGGCAGGGTGTCCCTCCTCAGAATGCACTGTGCCATCTCCACCATAGAGACTGACACCATGTGCCCAGGCCAGGTCTGCCCCAGCAGTAACTGTGCTGGCCTGGGCAGGAAGAAAATATGGCCAGCCCTTGAGAAGTCTTCTGGCTAGGAAGAGAAAGAGCATAGACGGCAGGGGAAGAGAAGGCTGTGGAAAGGGGTAGGAGAGGATTAAGAAGATCCCATTTCCAGTCAATCTGACCCCTTTAGCTGTCGTCTGGAAACCCTTTATCCTCTGCCAATGGTCACATTTGCCCCTTAGCCATGGTGCACGGGGTTGAGCCTTAGTCTTGTGACCCACCCACATCCCATGTGACCCAGGTGACTCTAAGCTGACCAAATTGGTCCCATTCTACTGTCCGTGATTGTTTAGTGCTTGGCTCTGACCCAGTTCTAGCCACCGAGACAAGTCAGAACATGAGCTGAGGGGCCTAGCAGGGCTTAGCATGGCCTCTATTTCCAGTATGTTCCAGACCTTGACAGTGATCTCCACCTTTCTCTTCTACTCTTCACCTATCCACCTCTGTCTTGACCACACTGAACTCTGTCTGTCTCTCTGTCCAGCTACTTCTGTCTCACAGATGACAGACATCTGGGCTTTGTGGCACACTCCCTGACATTAACTCCTCCCAGGGTGTTATTTAAGTCTCTTTGCAGTCAAATTTCTGAAACACAACTCACATACCAGCCCCGTGTATGTTCCAGACCCCAGGGGTCACATATCCAGCTCTAGGCTCTGCTGAAACCTCATCCAGGTTCCATTTACTGGGGGGTGCTGCTACCTCTGGGTTGTAAACACTCCCGTCTCCTTCCTAGTAAGCCCCCTTAGGAAAGCAGCGCTGCCTCAACTGAACTTCTGTGCATCTCTTGTCCTAGGTCAGTCTAGACTCCTTATCTCAAAGTGGGGCCATCTGTGTCCAGAACTCCTGTGACTTCTCTCCAGCTGAGTCATGCTCTTGCCTGGTTTCTTCCCTCCCTGGACCACTGTGGTGTCTTTCAGACTCTTAGCAGCCCCTTGTAGCTCTTCGGTCGTGCCTCAGGCTATGTCTGGGAAATACATACTAAGGCATAACTTTCAACTGTGGAGGTGGCTCATGAAGGGAGGAAAAAAGAACTACCCTCCCCAGGAACCTCTGTACACATCTGGTCCCATCCCCTTCTCTGTCCTTCGCTGGCCTGTGAACAGTGAGTGACAAGGGCACCCGAATGGATTTTCAAGGTCTCCTTTGAAGTCTCACACAGGTGCCTGCTCTGGAATATGAGAGATGCTCGTGTTTATTTGCCTGGAGCTACTAATGAAATTGTCTCTTGGCTTCCTGGTGTTAGCCAATTCACATATAAAATTCCAAGCACTGGGCAGGAACCAGTGAATGACAGCTATTATTATTGGGTCTTCAGCATAATATACTGAAAACTCACATGCTTCATGCCAGGTCTATGAGACATTTTTGTCCTTCTCCCCTTCTGGTGACTCTTCAGGGAGTCACAGTATTTAATACCACTTTGTTAATCCTTACTCAAAAAGCTGGAGCCCGGAAAATATTCTGTGTCTGGGCCTGGTTCCAAGCCCAGGTTTGTGTGTATTGCTTTATTGAGCATTTTCTCACATTGCCACCCCCGACTTCCCCCTCCCTGGGCCACCTCTCCTTCCTCCTGTACCCTCAGTCAGCAGCAGCTTACGCTGCAGGTCCCCATTTGTTCCTGCTGAACTGAAGCCTTTCTTCTCTCTCCCCTGGCACTCAGATCTGTGTGACTTCTGAGGAAGAACAGGACGGCTTCATCAGAGTCCTCAGCGGGAAGAAGAGAGGCCTCGTCCCACTGGATGTACTGGCAAACGTGTGACTGTGGCAGTCCCTCCGAGTGCAGGAGGCCAGCTCTGCTGATCTCACTGTGTCCACCCAGAGGAGCAGCTGCATTGACAAGTGCCCAGGAAACAGGGAGACTTGAATAGCTGAGACTGTGGTAGCAATCTGGAAGCAGACCCACTGCCCAGCACATCCAGGCTGCCGGAGAGCAGCATCCCAGAGCTGAGGCCGCTGGGGGTCTATGCCAGGCTGCCCCAGGACTCAGCTCCCTCCCTGCCCACCTGTTCAAGGCTGGAGTATGCTCCAGGTCATGGTGTGGTCCTAGTGAAAAGTTTGGATCTGAGTAGCCAGGTGTTGCTCTGGTTCCAGATTATTGCCCCCAATGCTGGCCAATCAACATGACGACTCCTGTAGAGAATCAACAAGGCCAACCTCCCAGTTGCCAACATCCCAGGCCTCACTCCAGCTCCTGCTCAGTCTGTGACTCTGCTGGCAGGATTGTTCTTTCTTTCTCTTCAGTCCTTGGAGCACATCCTAGGCAGGGCTGAACTGACTCGGTACCAAGCACAGAGATCTGACTTACCTACAGATGCTTGCCGGGGAGTCCTTGCTACTTCAGTGACTCACAAAGGTGACAGAGCCAAGTCAGAGGCCCAGAAAGAAGCAAGCAGCAGTAAGAAGTGGGAGTGAGGACAGGGAAGGAGTCCTTATGCATCGGGACTAGACAGCCCTTTGAGAAGGGATGCTCTTTCCCAAAGCAGGTGGGGCTGGGAACAGGAAGTAGCTGAGAGTCTCCATTTTCATTTCATACCCTCTACATCAGGAGCATGACTTCTTCCTTCCCTTGTGCAGCCCGTAGGACTCTGTGGAGGAGGATGAGTCCACTGTGCAGGGGACCAGGGACAGGGGAGCACCTGAGAAAAACATCCTAGAATAAATGTAGCCAACTTAGAATCCATTCTTCTCTAGGACAGCATTTCCAGCTCCGGCAGGTGTGAAGTGGAAATGAACCTGTGATGCTTCATCTCTCTACACACAGAGGGAGCTGGAGCTTAGCTCACATCACCTAGGGAAATTGCTCTCTACCTGTACCAATGTTTACAAGAACATACACACTGCGATGCCTTCCTCCCAAGCCCGGTCCCAGCTCTCAGACTCGCTTCCTAGCAGTCACTGACGTGTCTCAATGTGATTCACAGTGACTTTGAAATTAATGTTGCTTTGATTTATTTTGCCACTGAGCAATAAAATCATTAGAATCATTGGGTTTGGACTTGGTTCTACTTTGTTTTGTGATTTGCTTTGTTTATTGGAGCAAGGATCTTTAGCCAAGGCTAGCCTCAAAGTCACTGCATTGCTGAGGATGACCTTTCTGTCCCCGCTTCCATAGTGTTGGGATTCCAGGAATGTACCACCACACCCCATGCAGGCAGTGCTGGGGATTCAATCCAGAATTTCACACATGCTAGGCAGTCAGTCTACCAACTGATCTACATCCCAGACCCCAAAAGCCAATGTTTTGCTTTGTTTTGCTCCATTTTGAAGACTGAGATGGCTACATCCAGGGCATGTCAGCCTCATTCCCTAGACCAAAGTATCATTTGTCTGTTTAATGATAATGGTTTTGTTACTGCTCCCATT